TCCGCCTCATTTAAATCGGGAGTGGGTTCACCGGGTCGAGCGGCAGGCAGTTCACACGAGTCTTGGGAACACCGCTCGGTCACTATCTTGTCGCACTAGGACGACTCCTTGAATCACAGTTCGCAACTCGCAACTCGCAGCGCGATTAGTAGTTAGTGAGCACTGGAGCGTTGCATGGTTAGCATCGTTTCAGCGGATGGCTGCATCAAAGACTTGTTATACCTTCAGCCCTGAAGATGTCTAGGTTTCTGGAACCAGGAGTTCGGTAGGTGGGAATATTTGCCGAGGCCCAGTCTCAACCAATTCAGTCGTGTGACAAAAATTCGCTGCTTAGTTGAGCAAATTACTTTACACGTCGTCGCGTCAATTGGTTCCATCAAAGCATCTTTTTGGTTAAACGTCTATTTTTCCTGCGAAGGGCGATTGGCGGGTGAGGAACCAAACTCTAGAAGCGGGTTGAACTCGCAACTGTATCTGTTAGAATTTCAATCTAGTCACCAGGAATTGTCGGCCGATGACCTGTGATTCCCATGTTCGACGTCTCTTCGGAAGTTTCCGGACATCTGGAGGTTCGAATACCTACACGACTAAAATGTCATTGAACCCTGCAGATCGATCGGATCGGTAGTACTTCTAGAACCCACGCATGGTCACGACACCAAACATGTCCGGATGAACCCAGCCACCATCGGTCGACATGTTGCTTCTGTCCCGCATCCGGAACCGAAAGTGGAGACGAAGGTTCCGGCTCCCGAGGAAAGCTCGCCGGGGGCGGTGTGAACGCCAAGGCCTTTGCAATGTCTTGCATGCGGTCTCTCATGGTTCTCGTTTGAGATTGGTCACATTGTTCTTTTCTTACAGTCTCCAGGAACGTGAGAGGGAAACGCTGGTGGCGATTGTCTATCCTGAGGACTGCTCAGAGGCGTCAAATGCTTCAAGACATGAAAGATCAAACGGGCCAACCGATGAAGGAATGTTGTTCTTCCTATCCATGGAGCTCACATGCAGTTGCATCCCCCTGAGTTTTTAATCAACCGCTGTGGCTTGATGACACTAGGTACCTCGCTTAGCCCATTGGCTTACGCTATATTCAGTCGGCTTTCTCGCAGTCTCTGAGTAGCTATGATGGAAGGGCACACACTCGCGTCAACTGTGCCATTCGCACAGGCAGCCAGGCATTGCCTGTGGCGTTGATAAAGATGCGTCCTGGGCGCGGATTGCTGCCTCCGCCTTTTAGCCGTCCCCCATCACCCTATAGGAATCTGTTTCTTCCATCCGTTGTCAGGCGTAGCGATGACGGTCTACGATTGCCATGATTGGGTCTTCCCCAAGCGACGGCACTGGTGTCAAACGCGATCCCTCATCCGGTGGCCGCGAAGACAAAAACGCATCCGTGCGTGGGCCCAGATCGACAGGCTAGATCCCCTCTAGCGAGCAGCAAGACGAACAATGAAAGATCAAGCCACGACGAGCCTGGCCTTGCAAGAGGGCTGATGCTTCGATGCGGCCCCTGCATCTGCCGTGGTGCCCTCGATGCGAGCTTGGGAATGTAGCCCCTTCAATGGTTGAAGAGCTAGACAAACGGCGAGCTGTGGCGTTGGTCCGTCATCCATGCTTCTCCTCCTGTTGATCGCAGGAAACGTTCTTTAAATCATCCTTCTCTACCTTGTGTCTTGGCCTTGTTCCTGGATCCCTTGCTGTCAACGATTGTTGGTGGGAGGGACCCTGAAAGCTTCCGTCTCGTTCAACTTCCATTCGGACAGAGCCCTCCATTATGCATTCGTTTCGCGTGGTCTCTGTTCTGTTGGTAAGCCTTGGCGGCCTTGGGGTGGCTGCCAAGTCACTCAGCTTGGAAGGCATTCCCAGTTGCGCTGTAAGTCATGATTCCACATCACGAGTCTGCCAAGGACTCATCTGGCTGACTATCATTCACCCTAGATCACTTGCATGGTTAAAGCCCTTCCCTCGACAACCTGCTCACCCACGGATCAAGCGTGCCTCTGCGTCGATTCCAAGTTCAACGCCGCGGTGCAGCCCTGTATTCAATCAACATGCACGATACAAGAGAGCCTGGGTGAGTCCGGGCGGAAATACATTTGTTCGTCAACGTGGCGAAGCTGACGGCGTAGTAGTCGTTACCAATGCAACATGGTCGAATTGTGGCTTCCCGTACAGTGACCAAACTTCCAACATTCATTTGATCAGTGGAGTCGTTACTGCCATCGGTATCATCTTCATCATGATGAGGATGGCTACCAAGATTGCGAAGCTCTCTGCCTGGGGCGCAGATGACACTGTGATTATCGTTGCTTTTGTGAGTGAATATCGTCCTCTCCTTAATTATCTAGCTCTCTAATTGCCCCATAGGCGTTGTTCATTGGTTTCTTTGTGGAACTGTTCTATTGTGAGTTCGTCGCGATCAGAGAGAGTCATTGGGTGCTTGGGAATTAACACCACATTTTCAGTCGTGAAGGCAGGACTTGGCAAAGACATTTGGACTTTACATGACTACGAGATTACCTATTTTCTCAAGGTAAGTAGGACCAACTTCTCGGACTGCGTTTTACAGCATACTAAGCATGTCACAGCTTCTCTTTGTTCTCGAGTTCTTCTACATCATCGGCCTAGGCGTCGTTAAAGCGTCCATCCTCTTCTTCTTCTTGAAGATCTTCCCCAACCGAGGTTTCCGCCGCATCTTGTGGCTTATGCAGATCCTCAACATGCTCGTGGTGCTATCCTACGTGGTTCTATGCTTCGCGCAATGCCAGCCGTTCTCGCATTTCTGGAATGGATGGGATGGTGCGCACGAAGGCCACTGCGTCGACTTAAACAGGATCGGATTGAGCCACGTCTCGCTCAACATCACTCTCGATATCATCATGCTTATGTTGCCGATCACTCAGATCTACAAACTTCAGCTTAACAGGAAGAAGAAGATTGGTGTCATGGCTATGTTCTTGGTCGGTGTCTTGTAAGTTCGACCCCTGCATGCCCACCCCATTGTGCATCGTCGACTAACACTAGTCGAAGCCTCACTATCGTCAGCATCCTGCGTATCAAGACACTCATCGCATTCGCAACCTCGCTCAACACTACCGCTGACTCAGTGGCTGTCGTCCTCTGGGCCTACGTAGAACTTGGGGTTGGCATCGTGGTCGCGTGTATGCCCAACGTCTGGCAACTGCTAAAGACTTTGCCGTCTAAGGTGATTCAGTTGTCGACGACGCTTGCTTCCAACATGAGTCACTCAGGCACTCGCACTCGGCCCAGTTCTCAAATCTTCATCGACAAGCGGAGTCCGACCAAGCAGTCGTTCACAGAGAGCTCATCGATTCAGGTTGCTTCGGCATCGTCACCGTCAGTCTCAATTCATTGAGATTGTTCTTTACTGCTGAACAGAGTACTAGATGCTGCCATGTTCTGAAATTCACGTTGAAAATTTTTTGTGTTCAGAAGTAATTGAACGGTGGCACATATTGATGCTTGGACACTGTATCCGGCAAGGACGTGGCGTAGCTTGCCTGTGATCAATAGGCCAAGACAAATCTCTTCATGGTACTGTGTTCACAACTTCACCATTGCAAGAAAATATGAGCGATGGTGTGAAGTGTGCTTGTTGCCAGTACAAGCACATGTGATGTCCGCCCCGCGTCGTCACTTCAAATATCACATGAAGTGACATGGGTCCTGGACGTTCCATCAGATGTTGAAGAAGCTCTGTCTGTGTTGCGTCGTCGACGTTAAAGTGGACCAGGGATGAGTGCTAAAAGTCCCATATGAAGTGCTGGCGACATGTCCGCGCACTTAGTTGCGTGCCTTACCACCCTAAATCATGTGTTGGGCAGAATCGATTGTCCAATCATCAAGTTCAACTGAAAGTTCATCAGCTTGTAATTTCTATCCACGTGTATCGATGTTCATCGAGTCAGGGATGTGGGAGTCATCTCATCGCGATGCTGCATTAGCGACCGGGATGAGATCATGCAGTGAACCCAATTGATCGCCGGTAGCCCCGTGCCGTGAGTCAACCAGCTCGTTGGGTTTCTCTAAGACGAATGGAATGAATGGAACAAGAACTTACTTGGTAGTATTCGGGACCACCTTTCAGTTTCACCAGTTCATCTATGTAGTGTGAATCATCTGCCATGCTGTGAACTATTCGCTGGGGTTATCTTATTGTGGTCTCTTCAGAACCCAACCTGTCAAGGCACGCAAACTTTGGAGGCAAACCTCCGCGCTGATGACTGCCCCTGGTCTCGGCTACCTACTGCCCACCGTAGCCACTGATAGCCGCCTTGCCAATTTTCGGACTTCGTTGGGAATAAGTGTCTCGGGAGCTTCTAGAAACAAGGAAAGAAACATGCGGCATGAGATCCATCGCCTCTTCTAGTCCATGTGCGAGTCTTAGGAAAGGCAGGCATGTACCAGGGCAATGGGAAGTTGAAGCACTACGCAACATCTCACGTCGTGTCACTTGTCAGCCTGCCAGGTAACACAGCACGCGCTGCGCCCTCATCATCGCCAAGCATGACTCACTTCTCATCAGCCACTTAGTCCCCAATCAGCGGCCGTTGCAACCCACCATCAGGACCCTTGAACATCCCCAAGTTGGACTAATACTAAGCTTTCGGGAGCGTTCTGCAGGCCGGCTACAGGGATGAGCGAAGGCGCCCACGCGTTACAGCCTACGCCAGGCCCAACTCACCCGTCGGAGACCAACATTATCAGTTTCGCCTCACAACATCGAGGTAATCTGTCTAGATGTACTTATATCTCTGCTGTTCATCGACATTGCATCTGTCTCATACTACAACCATCATCTTCGACCGGTCTCAAGTCACCGCGCGCACCTTTGCGTCAGACCCCTCGTCGACTTGCTCTACCTCTTGTCTACGCCCTTCCTAGGACACATCTCCCTTCCGGTCCTAACTTACACCACCCGCCACACGCAAACTCCAACCAGAAACAGCCCCCGTATATAAAGCCACCTTCTGCCCAGCATGGGTCTAAGACTTCACAGCAGTAGCAGCGATGCCCTAGATCTAGATCTCAGTCAGCGGTACCTGCCCCCCGGCCCCTCGCAGGTCAGCAGGCCGCGCCCCCGCGCCCACTACAACGGCGCCTACTTCCACCCCGACGGCTCCATCGCCTTGCACCGAGAGCTCGCCGATCAGAAGCTTCCTCTCCTCGACCTCGTCCTGACCGCAAACCACCAGAAACGGGCCCGTCAGCACCGACAGACACGTCGGGGCCAGACTCACCGCTCTACACGGCAATGGCGCACTGACGAGGCGGCCGAGGGCCGCAACCTGGCCTCTAGTGGCCACAAACTCCCGGGCGAGCACCGTCGGACGCCGTCCCTGGAGAGACAAGATGCCTTCCGGGATCCTCGCACAACGAAAGCCCGGCTCTACCCGGAAGACGCCCCCGACATCGAAGAGCTGTATCGGCTGGGTCTTCTCTACGACGATGAGCATATCCGTGGTCCTGCTTTCGGTCTCGATATCATTAATCACCATTCAGAGCCTAAGTACACCATGCGCCCTGCCAAGCGGGCGCGCAAGTCCAAACCCCAGCAGATCTCATACGACGATGATGTGCAGCTCGCCCTCGACCTATCTCTAGCCGAACTCGGCCGAGATGAGTCTTTCGCGCAATTTCTTTGCTCCCCAGAACTAGACGAGCTCCCTTCGGGCGTTGAGTCCGACAGCAGCAGCACGTATAGCGCACGACTCGCGCCCCTGCAGTTCGTTTCCGAGCTCTTGGGGTCGCCAGATTATTTTAGCGATAACACGCCTGAGCTGACAACTGATTTCGCCTCTGATTCTTCTATTTCTTTCAATTATTCTTCTGATGAGGAGCCAACCTCCGCGGAAACCCGTGGAACTTTGACGACAGGGACCAAATATGATAGAATTACTGCCCAGAAGCTTGATAGTCCCTGGACGATGTCGGGTGACGGCTCGTAGCAAGTCCCCAAGGATCCCCGCGCGCTACTCGGAACTCGACTGCGATTTCTTTGGCAAAGCGCTCGTGCCCCCGGAGTGGACTAGCCCTCATTTAGCCCGGCATCACCGGGATCGATGCACGTGGGTTGGTTCCAGGTCTCTGCATTCTGTTGCAATTCAGGAGTTATGGTAGGACAGCTGTGTGCTCGTGTAATAATGACACTGAGCTCGCTGTCTTTGATCTTTTCATTTTTTGTCTGTATCTTTCCACCGCACAGCATAGCATTCAGCCACTTGTCGATTCTGAATAAAATCAAATTTTCAACCCTTACCTCTTGCAGTGACTCCTTCTATGCCCCCCACTTCAATGAGTAGATTTTGACAGACGTGCCCCTATTCCCGTATACAGCTTTCACACCAAACACTCATGGAAGCCTACTCAACCCACGCCACAGTATTCAGAACTCAGCAGAAAAGAAGAGTAAGGTTCCGGGGTAATAATTACTCAGCACATAGGATGATAATGATGCTCGGGGTATCTATAGACACCGAGATTCAAAGACGATACTCAACTAAGCTCTGCGGAATTACGGGGGCGATTCGAGACCGACGTCACCGTGCGCTGGGCGTGACGCTCGCGATGTAGTAGTCGAGGTCGCCGAAAGCACGAAGGTTTACTCAGGGACCGAATTGACCGAATAATGATCCTAACGCTGGAAGAAATTCTACTGGCGTGTACAATGCCTCAAAAGGCCCATGTCGCCTAGGTGTCGCCTATTCGGTGCATGACGAGAGTCATGTAACGTCTTTCCGAGGTTTAGCTAAAAGCTTAGCATAAGTGTAAATATATGAAGCTAGTCCTAATACCCTCTGGTTAACGCTGTCCAGAACTCCGTATTTGACTAATTTTCAGGAGGTAGAAAATTCGTAAGGGCAACCTTGCACAATACAAGTTCAGACACGAGGCGATGGCTTCCTTGCGAAAACAAAGATACTTTGCGTATTCTTGGGTACAGGAAAGACCACCACGGCTCTCTTAACAAAAGACTTGTAAGGCTTCTGTTCTATCACAATCGCCAAATACTCGGAGAGCCTCATGAGATCCATCATATAGCCAAAAGTTCTTCAGCAGCGTTGAAAGTTTATTCTATGCAGGGGATCCGAGTACAGTCGGTCTAAGGATAGCTAGAACGTAGTCATGCGGTCGCCATTAGCTTCCACCAGGTCTCTGTAAATGAGCAAGACGACATTTGGTTTTCACAGGCTTCACGAGACTGTCTATGGAGCAACATAGTCAAACTCTAAGAAGTTGCTCTGTCTTTAGGCGAAAATACCCTGTTCTACCAAGCTGTGCACTTGACCTCGCTTTCGGGCCCCCGGCAAAAAGACCTACCAACTCGACCCAAGTCTCGAGATAGCTTCAAACTGTAAGTCATGGAGCTGTCCACTTGCATGAGTGAATGTCAATCATGAAGAACCGCATTTTGTCGATGATTTCCGGCTTCTCCGCCTCAAGTCGAGTATAAAGCATCTCGGAAAGCCATGAGGAATCAACTCTCCTGCCAGACAACTCACCAGCCTTCTCATCCACTCATTCTCAACCACACTCACTCATCATCACTCTTTACAACGACTGTCATTTATTCCATTTATCAAGATGCATTTCCAACTCATCCAATCCGCGGCTCTGTTGGCCGCTGTCCTGCCGACGGCCCTCGCAGCCGTTCCCTCTGACTCTTTGGAACGCCGGGCTGAGTGGACCACCACCACTCAGGATATCGAGCTCTCCGAGTTGGGAAACATTGAGTTGTACTCTCAGAATGAGAACCCTGCCAACGTGGTTCAGAGAGAGCTTGAAGCACGAAGCTCCGCGTCTGCCTTTGTCTGCAGAGGTCGTCGCCCCTTGCCCCGCAGCGGCGGAAAGGTATGAACTTGTCATCTCGTACCTACCTGAGTAAGGCTCGTGCTAACATTCAAACAGTGGCTTTACCGTGAAGCCACCTGTGACCGCACCGGCACCGACGTGAACACCTTCAAAGTGAGCATACCTCATCCCGCCCTGGAGGATGCACGCTAACAAGCTTCAGGTCTCCTGCATGGCCGAGAACTCCCACGCCGACATCCTCTACCGCCTCCCCGGCGCTTGTGGCAAGAACCAGTGGTGCGTCGAGTTCCACGGCTACAACGAGATTGGCCAGGGCGCTTGGGACGTCACCTGCGTCGACAAGCCCAACATCCACACCTGGGTCGCCAACACCTTCTCCAACCCGGGCCAAGTCACCACTTGCAGCGCCGGATGGAACAACAATGGCAAGCGTAACCTCAAGGCTACCTTCGAAGTCGACGTCATGGATGCTGGTGGAATCAACCGCATCAACCCCAAGGAGGTGTACTACCAGCTTGGTGGCAAGCGGATCGGTGTCTCCCGCAGCGGTGACTCTGAGGTCGGTTCGGGATCTATCATCATTCCCCCTGGTGGATCTATTCAGGCTTGCGTCACTGCGTACTCTGGACAGATCATCAACATGCTTGGTGCTCTTACTTCTCTCGTGTCACTTTAGACCCGGATCGAGGTGGTCCGGCAACGTCTTCAGATGCTTGAAAATAGTCTGACAGCGTTTGAAATCTAACCGGGGTTTATTATAATTGGTAGATCAGCACAGTCATTACCGAATATTTACTTTGGATACGCTTTATTTAGTCCAACAGTTTCTATATCTCTACGAATGGTTCAATATATACTGTGGGACAAAATCTTTAAACGTCTGTTCCAAGTACCTCGAGGAAAACGTGAAGGCTCCGCATCAAATGCTGTCTATAGAGCACTGCTTCACAGACGTGTGTAACGTCTGGCACATACCAGGAAGAGTTCGGGATGGTGATTTATTTACAGTGAGATATTACTGAAGTTTTAATTACAAACAATAGGTACAAATGAAAAGACGCGGCGTCAGATGGTAGTGCCACCAGTCGCTGTATGCTCAGCCACAAAGCTATGAAAGCTTCGCCCAAGCCCATCGCAGGCCCTGCAGACAAGCTACGTGTTGGTAGTTACGTCTTTGGACCACATGTTACAGAAGCAGACTGGGTATTCAATCATTGCTGCTGCATCGAAGGGCGGCGGGAAGACGGGATCGTCCAACTTGCCATTTCCATCCTTCAACTTGTAGCACTCGTAGTTATTGATCAGTGCGGCGCGGAAGTCACGGATCCAGTGCTTCGTGTCTTCGGCTTTACTATCGCTGATGGTGTAATGCTTGAGTTTGCTATCAACACCAATCTCGGCGTAGCTAAGTGCGATGCAGTTCTGCGACTGGTCAGCATCCCATTCGGCGTGAAAAGACGAAGATGGTAGCGGCTTCGCAAACTCACATTATCATACCACATGCGCGCCGCTTTGCTTTCGAAAGCTTCCTGGTTCATGTAAATGACACCATTCCCCTGGCAAGAGAAGCACAGTCAGTATTCCAACTCAGTCTGGCAAGAACAAAAACAGGCGGATACATGTACTCACAGTTGGGACAACTTTTTGATCGGCGGACGTGACGAGGAACTTATACTCTCTCTTGTTTGCTGTCTTCATAGAGCGGATGAGTGCAAACTTTTTCTGACAAATGCGTTAGTAACTTGATGTCTTGGGTTTTGCAAGAATAGGGGAAACTTACGAATTTCCCAAAGACGTTGGCTGCCATCATATCCATCATGTCGCCCATCCACTTAGAACTCAACCACGCACCATCGTCGAAATAGCGTAGAATGTACTCCCGCATGCCCTCTTCGCCAATCCTTTGTTTCTAGAAGGACAGTCTTCCATATCGAGCATTACGATGACCGGGAAGAGACTCCTGTCTGCCAGTCGTCTGCTTTTCATGGGGTCGGTCTCGCTCTCACTTTTCATCCCGGGGAGTCTGGACGAGGTTGCTCGTCTGCTGACACGCGGGAGGTCTCTCAACAACCCATCCTGAGAAGGTAATGTCACACAGGTAATGTCACACATTCAAAGAGGCCGATTATTCTAGTAACTTACAAATGCCTGTCTTGAGATCTTGCTGCGGTGCTACTTGACATAAGCACAGTGCAGTGAGAAAAGGTTCACTGTCTCTGGCATGAGACATGGGCATACGAAGATACTTCACCGTCACATGTAACTTATGCTGGTCTCCCATATGTGGTCGCATTGTGCCGCTTCCCGAGAGAGCACAATTACTTCATATGATGATGATAAGACTTCCAATCTAAGCTCATCACTGCAAAACCAGTCCATCCCCTGAGCCAAGCTCAACGAAATCGTATTCTGGAACTTTGCCATTCATCCTTGCCTCTTCAGCCTCGACAGCCTGTTTAAGAGTATATTGCGTACGCATAAGCAGTGGTGCGATGAGCCCACCGCCCTCCTTTGTCTCATCGTGTGTCGCAACCCAATACCGAGCTCCAGTCTCAGCCACAGCTTGGATACCATTCAGAGCTCCCAAGTTTAACTGTTTCGTCATCCAGATGCGGACGTCGTGGAGGCCATGAAGTAAAGCGAGTGTTGAGAAGCCGGACTTGCGAATGCATTCTAGATCTGTTGCTTGTATACCGTGAGGAGAGTATAATATTGTCTCCGGTGTTTCCGAGTCAAAGGCAATCATAATGGCCGAATGGTAATACAGGGCGTTTCCTTCCGTGATGACGCGCCCAATTCCGACCCATGGCGGGAGGCCGGAAATGCTAAGATCAGACTTCCAATCTTTTGTTTCGGAGGAGAATCCAGGGGTAGTGGTGACGGAAGAAAAGTGACTCCATGAGCGGATGAGGTCAGCAGCTTTATCAGTAGCAAACACTGGCGTTGACTTTGGAAGTTCTTCTAGAGTCGCTTGGTGACAGTGATCAGTGAACTCATGCGAAATAGCCACGACGTCGATATATGATCTGTCAGTGACCTTTGGGGTTTCGGAGCCGTCTTCAAAGCCTGCAAGAATTGAATTGAGTTGGTCCATAGTTTTCAGGCTAGGTTCGACGACATGCCACTGTGTGGAGAACCATGACGCGACGTCGGACTGCGGACCCTGCAGCCACGGGTCGATGAGAACATTGAAACGCTTTCGACCAGCAGGCCGGACCGACAAAGGAGGATAAGGCAGTTGAATGAGCCATGTGGTATCGGCATTGAGGTGTACGAGGACGGGCCGTTGAGACCTCAACGCTTCCAACCAGCCAGCTCGGTCGCCGACTTTGATCGTAGCCGGCGCCGTTGATGCTTGTGGTTTATCTTGAATAGCCATAAGAATGCCGTTGGCTTCGGGTTTCGTGGTGGAGGTTCGAGGTTGAGGTGTTCAAGATGCGTTTTTGATGGGGGTTTACTCGGCGCACGACGGTTCCGGTTGATGTTGGATTGGTGTCCTAAAGAGGAAGAGAATGACGTAGTCGAGTTGCTCCGCCCCCATGATCCGTTTCCAACATGTACTAGCATCACGTCGTATGGCTGGCAACTCCAACTACCTCAGTGATTACTTGGTGCACAGGTCAGGTGAACGCAAGCCATGAAACGGCGGCTTGACTGTATCACAAGTCTATAACATTATCATAACAATGTGCACAATCTCTAAAATCTATCTCTGCACGTTTTACACTCGTGACGGGGGTTTCCAAATTGGAGTAATTCCAGCTCTCGGGACACCTTTGGAGATTACTTTATCGCACGGACTTGATGGTCACCATGAGCGGGTGTTTCTCCCATAGAATGTAAGACTTTTGATCCGACCAATTCTCACTCTCTTGGCAAAGGCTGAGGTCAAAGTTCCAAAGCGTTTTGGCCAGGATGAGTCTCATTTCGTGCCAAGCAAGACTAAGACCGGAAAAATTATGGTCAGCCGGCCGAAGCTGCTGCAACTTAGAGAGGGAAGAAGACTTACTTGATTCCAATGCAGTTCCGAGGGCCGATAGAGAATGGCTGTACAACCTCTTTCGTGTTTGGCTCATACTCTGGCCCGGGAATCCACCGCTCAGGGATGAATGCTTCAGGATCCTTGAAGTTGCGCGGCGAATGGTTCGCAGGGAACTGCGGGACGGATACGCGAGTCTGAAATAAGAATTAGTAACCTTTACCCATGATGAGAGGCAATTCACAAGGTTTCATACCTTTTCCGGGATCCAATGTCCTGCAACAGCGCTACCACCCTCGGGAACTTCCCTCCAGACTCCAACAGGAACTGGGGGGTACCAACGCAGTGCCTCATTGAGAACGGCCGTCATGTATGGCAACGCAGAAAGTCTCTGAACGTCCAAATCGTCTTCAGAGTCTACTCCGCGTATTTCGCTCACAAGACGAGCCAGCTTGTCAGGGTTCCGGAGGAGCAAGTATGTGACGCCACTGAGAATGGTTGCCGTGGTCTCGGATCCAGCGACCATGAAGACAGACGCGTTGTTATACATGTCAAACTTGTCAATCTGTTTTCCCTCAGGCTGGCTGAGGACCAATTTCCAGATATCGGCTTTGTCAGTGTCCCTTTCAAGCCTGCGATCGACTCGTTCAATGGAATGCCTGAAGTGCATGTCGGCAGCCTGCTTGAGTCTCGGTGGTGTGATCAACTTCACAATGTTGCCCAGCCATGACCACTCCCGACCAACTTGGGCGAAGGCGCCGTTCTTGAGATTGTCGAAAATGTTGGCGACCCATTCTGAGTATTCTGAGTCGGCGAGAAGGCCAAGCGATTCTCCAAACGCCAGCTCAGCCATGATGTCGAATGTCGTCAGGTTGTACAACTTCACCATGTCGAACTTGGCGTCTGAGTCTGTCTGGATGCCACGGCAGATGTTCCCTATGAGCTGATCTACGTACGACAAAATCAGTGGTGCCTGAGCCTTGAGGCTTCTTTCCGAAAACGCTGGCGAGAAGACTCTTCGGAGGCGGCTGTGGTCGGAGTCTGGCAATGTCGTGATCAAATTGCGGTGGCCGTTGGGGTCGGTTCCGTACACACGCGGATCTTTGGGGAAGTTTTTCTTGCCTCCCGTCTTGTGGGCGTAGATGTCCTTCCAAGCCTGGCCGTTGATGATGCTAAGTCTGGAGGCCCCAATTCGTACAACATCACCGTACTTGGCGTGAAGAGAGCTGAGCCATGGAAGCATTTCCCCCTTTGTATGCACTGCCATGTATGGAATGTCCGAACAGCGGGCATAGAGCGGACCAGGGAATTTGGCTAGAGGATGAAAGTACGCATTGTACAAGAGCCCGGCGATGAAGTAGACGGGAATCTATAATAGGAGAAGTGAATCGTCATGATTAGCTCATACAGCTCGTTGTATGACTTAGCAGCGTTCGACTTACGAGAACCATTGTTGCAATAAGCATTTGTGGTGGACTAATTTGAGCCAAACTCTCCAACACCGTGGCCGAGAAGGTCGACCAATTGGCCAGAATTTTGTTCGTATCAACTGTCATCTTTACTGACTATGATGAGCTGTGTTCAAATTTGGCTATAGTCTAGACGAAGTGCGAACCGACCATTACTTATACCAACATTCTGTGTTCCCTGGAGTGGCCCTTCCATCAACAACCGAGTATCGGCCACTAGGAGTGTAGCAAAACTCCGTGACAAAGCTCTCCAAACAAGACAAAACTCCGCTGGGTACTAATTTCAGTCTTCCAACCCCGAATATCATCGCATTGTAAGGGCATTGGCAAAGAAATGCATGAGCCGGCCGTCGGATCGCCAATGTCCCACTACTTTCGGGGTGGAGTTCGGAGCGGACTGAAGGGGGCCCACTTTCGACCAAACTTCGGAACAACTTTCTCGGAGAACCGGGAAAATATTCACTTCCGGGTATCCGCACAGGATCAGCATTCCCCCTTGCGCAACCGGTACGCTTTTGTGCCCAGGATAGGGCCCTAACTCACCGCGTTATTCTCAACTAGCCTTTCGGCGCATGATAGCTGTTGTATTCATTGACTTGCAGCTGGTGTGATGTTTTCTCGGAGTGGCGGCTGCCCCTAAGGGTCCAATGAGAAGGGGCTTGGGTATTTCAGGAAATAATGAGCTGTCAATGAACATTGGTTAAGTATCCTTCCATCCCATAATACCTAGGGCTATATATAAATGCTGCCGGTCGACTCAAAAGGCCGAAAATCAAATCATTCATCGCCCAGGCATAACTATCTACAAAATCCTCATAAAGCAACAGGGAATACCGAATTCTCCGGCTCATCTTCGTTATCGCGCCCATTCATAGTCTCTAAGAAGGACCATGCGGAAGTTTCAGGGTTCGTAAAATGACCCCGTCCGACACCAATGTACGAAAACGGCGGCACCCCTTCAGCCTCTAATGCGTGTGCCCACATCTGCGTGTTGACTGGCGTTGTTTCTTGAGGATTCAGTGAGCCTAGAGGGTTGTTACCGTTATGAACAACGTTTTCGACACAAGCTCGTAGCTTAACGATGTATTCCGGTGACTCTCCCGGGAAACCAGATCTAGTGAGCAGATCCAATCTCTTCGACCATGCCCGTAATACGAAATGCGCCAGAGTCGCGCAGGATTTGTCGGTAACGTTGAATAACCCGGGCCGGAACCGGTAGAGTATTTCAATCTTTTCCCAGGCACGTTGTGCAATGGGTCCTTCAAGTCTTTGTCCCAACAGCACCACGACGTAGAGTAGTACCTCGAACTGGAAGTTGAAATCAGCGAACCAGAGGAAACCCGTATCCTCTGAAGAAGAGTAAAGAAACGACGTATGCTCAAGCATGGAAACAGCCCACATGAAAGCATTGTCCTCTCCGCTCTGAACCACGGCGTCAGGTCTAGGCCCGTCACTAATGCTCTTGATCAAGTGCCGTTTCTGTACAAGAAGAGCCGATATGAGCCCTTGAGCCATGACGTGTACTTGTCCCGCGTGGGGGTTGCATCGATTGTCCAAGATGTGCTGGAGCCCCTGTTCGAACAACTCGAAATGGGTAAGGTAGTAGCTCATCTGCTGTTCTCTCGTCCCCCCTGCTACTGGGGGAGCACCGCCGGACTCATTCAGCTCGCCCATCATCTTCACCGGTTCAAGACCGGGTGTGTCGACTAGAAACTTGGTGATTTTGTGTCGGACCAAGCATAGAACCATCTCTGAGGGGCCGTCGCGGTCCGGTGTTGGCTGCGCAGCGGCCGGAAAGATGTCCGCGTCGTTCAAGTTGCTCGGCTCCCTAGCATCCCAGTCCCGAGGGAGCAGCGAGTGGCCAAAGCCGGAGAACAAAGCAAACTTTGCGTCGAGTGATACCAGCTGCCACCATACCCTGCGCCTCATCTCTGATTCAAAGGGCTTCAGGCCAAGCACATCGCCGTCGCGGTGGAGCCCCATCTTTTGAGCGATTCGGATGACGGTGCCGCTGAAGACCCACGAGCTGTGACGGTCATATCTGTCTTGCAAGGAATACTGCCGATAAAGTCAGTATATCGCCTCGGCTTTCTTAGCTGTGGGGTAGTAGTTACCAAACTTACCAAGTACAGGCAGAGTGACTGGAGAATGACTAGATCATTAGTACGCATGAAATTGAGCTGCCTCATTGTCTGGCGGATGCCAGCGGAAAACAAGGCCACGGCAGCTTCTTTAGTCTTTTTCAGCGCAGCCAAACATTCCTCCTCTGACATGGCAACAACTGCCATCAAAAAGATGGACAGCAGTAGTGCCATGATATTTTCTGGCAGACCTTGGGTGCCATTTGTAGCTTCCACGACATAGGGCTGAAAGCTGTGAACATGAATCACTTTGGTGAAGGGATTCACTCGGTCAAGAAAGATTTGCCAAAGCTTGAAAACAAGTGCGGCATCCGGCCAAGCGTCGAGAACTGAAGATTTGGGGGCGTCATCTCCAAGGAGTAGATCTGTGTTTGGGTCGGAAGGCCTGCTATCAAGTGGACTGCTGCGTTCGTTCTCATCAAGGCTGATGAGCTCATCCATGGCTCGGAGCTACGGTAAGGTATGTCATGTGAGTGGTTTGATGTCGAACGATAAGTGCGGAGAATGACGTACCTCCTCATTAACCAGCCCCAGGAGGTAGTTATCCATGAAAGCGAGCTTGCCATTTGGATCTTCTACCAGCTTCCCTTCCGGTGTCCATCTAGAGACCGGAGAAGGGTCCGCCGGACTTTGAGACTGCGACGTCTTTGGCGTGGAGACAGCATTCGGGGAAGCCCTTGACGCCACCGCTGGAGCTTGACCACTCAGGAGCTGCTCACAGCGAGCTAGACGTGCTTTGAGAGCTTGATTGTAAGGCTTCCTCCCTCGCGGAGGAGCTGGCGTTCCAGGGATGCATTGGCTGGATGACTAGTAGCAACACATCAGCCTCAAGCCCTCTAAGGCGCGGAGCAACCCGACGGAACATAACATACCCTAATGCAATTTGCACAAGGAAACACCCGGCTGCACTTGACTTTCCGCTTTTGGCATGCAACGCAGGCAATGAGGCGCCGACCGGTACCTGGCTGGTCACTATCGGGAGATATCGAGTCCGGCCCCGAGGCTCCGGATGGGAAGGTGGCCATGTTTCCCCAGGCGAGACAAGGGCCGAGAATCCCAGCGGGCCCGAAAGAACAGCCGGCGCTATGAGGGCAAGAGGGAGGACTTTGACACTGGCCGGGAAAGAGAGGTGACGTGGAGCTTTGTTGCTTCGTGATATGGGGAGGTCTGCATATGTCTCGTCGATACAGGCGCGCAAAAGATGGTGCCGCCTCCTTTTAATTCGCTCTGTACAGAGTTTCTGTCCTTCGGTATCGAAAGTTTGTCCGACGATCCGCAAACCCATGTTTCACTAGCTAGCGCTGTGCGTAATTGCTGAGTCGCCCCCGCTTACCTGGGTCTCTGTAGATAGTGCAATGGGAGTGTCGGATTAAAAGTCATAGCTCAAAGACCTAGCGGCAATAAGCTTGCTGCTAGCATAGCTGAACATACGCGCATCTCTTTATGATTAATTGTATGTTGTTAAAAGCAACATTGTCTCAAGATGGCAGTAGCCTAGTGGCTGGTCCAGGTGCATGAGCTTGGTCTCAACAAGAATTTAGCATAAGCTCTACATATCATAAGCCATTAGTTAGCACAAGGCATTCAATCTTCATTACCTTACATGTACCTCCATGAACCTTCAATTGGTCCCAACTTGAGCTCACTCAACGGGATTCCACATATCACGCCGGAATCTTTACAGACTGCTTGATTGGCAACAAGTGCCCCTTCATATCGATCGCCGCGAGCCGAGAAGGTCTCAGGAACTGAAATACCATACGAAATAAGATGCCAAACTATCGAACCTGACACAACATCGTGGAGAAGCGGGCGTCCCAACCGATTCACCCGCTGCTTTTATTTGGTATCTTTCAGCCTATAGGATGCAGGGCTATCGTGCTTTAATCTCTGTTATGATTCATGTACTGACGATGCCAAAAGAACAAAGTAGCAAGCAGTTGTGAATGGCCCCATATGCTGCGCATCGCTTATCAGAGCCTACCGCGGCAGTTCCAGGTCAGTCTCGAAAAGGACTAAAGCATAAGACTTGAATATTGCGGCTCTATGAGCCCCGGTGCCCATATCTCATTTCATTCCCAAGTAGAAACGGTATGGTTAGCTTGAAAATCGTATTTCATATGGCATTGACGACTATTCTCGCTGATTGATGGGTTAGAAAGATGTTGGATACACAACACTCCACTTTTAGTTAAAAAAAGCATTCTGGGTATGCCACCATGAGCCTCGTTGGTGTGGATCAATGGGTGTGATGGGAACTCCACCTAGTGAAAGCGTGATCTTCCACCAGTCCGGACTCGTAGCGAAGTCCAAAAAACTGCAATTCACACACTTTACATCTAATCACGTACGAGTAATCCAATGTGTTCCTTAACCGTCGGAAGCTAAGGTAATCACTGAATATACCATAGCAGATCACGACAGCACTTACAAGTCCAAATATTCAATCTCGTCCAATCACAAGTCAATTCATAACTTCAGTCTATCTGGGACTCGTCCCGGGTCAATCCGTGTGCTCAATTCAAAGGCGCTGCCAAATTGCGAGCTGAAACATCTCCACCAGTCGGGTTTAGACACCTACTTGGTTCGACCATCGGCGTCCAGCCGCATCTTCTTGCCACAATGACACAAACGCTCAATCTCGTCTCCAATTGTAGATGCAGTATGAACGTGGTTATCCTGCAGCTTGTCGGCAGACGAAAAGTCCCAGTCGGAGCCAAGAATCTTGTTCAGCGCATCATTTGAGAAGCAGCCGCATGATGGATGACAGTAAGAGCAGAGCTTCTTGAAGAATCGATAGTCCTCAGTCTTTCCGTAACACTTCGGATCAGCCCGAGAGGCACTTTTGCAACTGACGTTCTCCTGCTTTAGACGGCTGATCTCCTTGTCGCACTTGGCACAAACACGGACAAAGAAGGTGGTGATACACATGGTGTATTCTTCAAGGTGACTAATCGCCAGGGTGAAAACAGGGGAGCGGAGGACTTACTCGTAAGTTTATTGTGTGTGGAAGATGATGTCGTGATGGGAGAGGCGTGAAAGATTTGCTGGCTTATTTACAAAAAATGTCTCATTAGCATCATTCATACATCAATATTGAGATTATATACACACCAACTAACCTTGGAGACTATTCTGCTAGCTTTTGAGCTGAGATATTATCGCATTGTTTGTTCTTGCACTTTACGGTTTTGCGCTTTGTCCATGTAAAAGAACATTGGGATTGAATTACTCATGTCCGACTTGCATGATCAAACACATGCCATGAATAATGGGGCTTTCGTTGAAAATTTCAAAGAACTTTTGATTGAGGGGTATCAATTCGCAGGTAAAAGCTATGTGCAGCTAGAAAAGAAAGAGTATGTACAGCACTCATGTGGTATCATTTACGTCATGCGAATCAAGCGAAGAGATCCCCTCTATATCCCGACTTCTCATCTAGTACTCAGCGAAACGCTCAAGAGTACCAGTTGTTGGGGGTCCACTTGACCTGTTGAGGTTGTTAGCGGGTGTTGTACATTGGAACATATAGGTTGTGTTCGACTTACGTAGCTGGCGTCAATCTTCTTCAGATCAGGGACACCGAGGTTACCGGCATCAATGGCAATCTCGTGCTTGAGAATTTGAATGGCCTTCTCAACACCCTCCTGACCGAAGATGTTGGAGAACATGATGGGGCGGCCGAGACCGACAGCCTTGACACCAAGGGAAAGAAGCTTGAGGACATCAGCGCCGTAGCGGACACCACCGTCGGCGTAGACCTCGATCTTCTGGAAGATCTCGGGGTCCTTCTCGTAGATCTCAAGAGCGACCTCGAGGGAGGAGGGGGAGCCGTCAAGCTGGCGACCGCCGTGGTTGGAAAGGATAATGGCGGGAACCTTGTTCTCGATGGCAGCCTCTGCGTCCTCAACGGTCATGATGCCCTTGATGATGATGGGGAGGTCGGTCATGTTGGACAGCTTGCGGTACTCATCCCAGGTGATGAGGGAGTAGTCGGAGTCGGCGGAGCCGACGGCGAAGCGAGCAGCGCGGTGGCGGTTGCCATCGGCGGCGGAGTCGACGGTGTAGACAATGCCGTTGGCGCCGGAGGCCTTGATGCGGTCAAAGAGGACCTGGGTCGCGGTGTCGTTGGTGGTGAGGTACACCTGCTGGAAGGCGACCTGGCCCTCGGCCTTGACCTCGGCAATCTGCTCAATGGTCTTGGCGGCGTAGAGAGCGGGCATGTAGAGGATGTTCTCCGCAGCAGCGGCCCTCATCAGGTTGAGCTCAGCATCAGCGTGAGCGTAGTCAGCACGGGCAGCAGGGCTGATGAAGATCGGAGCAGAGAAGTTGTGTCCCAGGATGGTAGTGCTGCGCGAGTCAGCGATTTGCGGAAAATCCATGAACCCATCCAAGGGAGTTCATCAGAATGGGAAGCTTGGAAGCTTGGACTTACTTGAGGGTAGACTCAATGTTGGTAATGTCAACCATGGTGCGAGGGCGGAGGCGGTAACGGCCGAAGACCTCCAGGTTGTTGCGATAAGACCATTCACCGGCGGCACCGTTGCGGTAGTAGGTGTAGTTCTTGATGGGGAGGTAGTTGCGAGCGGCGTACTCGAAGTCGGGAAGGCCAACCATCTGGGTGAGGTTGGGCAGAGCGCCAACAGCGAGGTCACCGAGGGCAAGCTCGATACCGGTATCCGGCTCGTTCAGGAACGGGCGGGTGGCGGCAGCGCCGGCCGCGAGGGCGGAGATGAGAGCAGCACGCATGTTGTCAGATAATGAGCGAATGTAAGTGAGTGATGACAGCGAGCACGTGTGTGATGAATCTCAGAGTCACCTCTTCAGCAAAGGGGACGGTCCTAAGAGTCTTATTTATCATGGCCACGACAATACAGCCAGACGTCACCTTTTTCTCTCTAAGCTCCCCCCTCCCCTATACTGCAATGTTCTTGGCGTCGCTCCGAGCCTCCTTGCTCATATCCGGATTCGGTTCGACGAGCGGGCCAAGCGGTTGCTACCCAAAGTCTACATGTTTAGAGGTATTATCCCAACGGACTCCATGACGTGCGCCATGGGTGTCGTTGAGCACCAGGAGAAGTCCGCAGGAACGGGGACAGCGGCCCCGTTTTCCAATGTTGAGATGCCAGTGGGAGCTTCTCTCTGAGTCTCTGCGCATGATGCCCCCGACGCTGGGGAATGGGCTGCATCCAGGGAAGGTCGGTCTTGGCGAACGGGCTGTCTTGATTCTTTCGGACAAGTCGGGTGGCACTCTGTAGGCCCAGGAAACTTGAATAGGCGGGTCTACTACTACGTAGAGGAGAACCCAGGCCCCAAATCCGGAAGCTTGACTTGCACCTGTCATGAGAGAATGACTGTGGGATAGCAGCGATGGTTCAAACTCAGATAGACGATGTCGACCCGCTGCCAAGCTTAATGGTGCTGCAATGCCTCCCTGATCCGGGGAGAAGCCCGTTATCAGATCTTGTAGGGTGGACCAGCGAGTGCCGTTAACGACCCAAGAACTGACGTATCAAGTTGATGGAAGACTGATGGGATGGAGCTAGTTTCACGTTTTTTTCCTTCTCTTCTTCTGCCTTCCTGTCTGTGCTCCCCCTCGGTTCCCCTCGACGACAGGGTCTAGAAAAAGCCCAGCCACTGACAGTTGGCCGGCAAGGATAGAGCGGGTAACTGACTCGCCCTGGGAGGATATCTGGTAGCTTAATAAGGCGCTACCATGGCTGAATAATAACGGAGCCAAGTTAATGAGCCAAGTCGTCGCACGGGGGGTGGGCAATGCTCCTAGCCAGCACATGACACCAGCCCAGCCAGCGGGATGGGGCTTGGACAAGCGCGCGGGTGGTGACAGCGTGAATGGGGACTACAACGCTCTCGGGAAGCGAAGGTCCCAGAGGTCTGGATTGCAATTGTTGGCCCGGTCCTGGGGGTATCCCACGTCACGGACAGACTCCTGTTCCCGATTGAGGGACATTTGGGGGCTTTCACGCTTACAGAATTTCGGTCGACTTCCGATTGTCGGGCATCGTGAGGATTAGGAAGTTGAAAAAACTTCTGAACACGATGGTTCCTAGCTTACCTCATTTCCATCCGATGTCAAGCCGCCCACGTGTCTTTAGAGATTCCTGAGTGTTAGTCCCAGGTTCTTAGTGCACTGAGCTCTACAGAGGACGGGCATTACTCCTCCCTCTGATCTCCCTTAATTGTTTGTTTGTTGTTTGCGGTTGAGAGCGCATTATGCTTGAATCGTCCGGTGTCTGGAAAACATTTCCTCGCTTTCTTCTTCAGAAACAGGGGTAAGCCTCCCGCCAAAGAGAAAAAGGGAGGTCGCATCTCCCATCACATTCCAATGCTACCTACCACATTTGCACATGACGTATCCTGGAAGCGAGATTTTGTTCTATAGCCCCCTCCGATTCATTATCTTTTTCTTCTCTCTCTTTCTTGGGCTGGGTCTCGCCCCAAGTTGAGAAGGAGTTGAAAAGAAATTTTGACCCTCAACTTGCTCAACTGGATTCCACTAGAAAACAGTTCTCGCAGTTTCCATCGCGAAAATTTCCGAATCCTCGACCAGGGTCCTGTTTAGGCGTTGACAATACCGAGAAGCAACATCCGTCTATCGGACTTATGACCGGCCGCACTCACCAAATGTCGGATCCGTGTGGGAGCCCCTCGACCTTCCGGGAACAGTTTGCTGCCGGTGGTGGCAACCGAACACGACGCAGGCCGTGGCGGAGCCGTAACTTGTAAGGCGTTGGAAAAAAAGGCAGTCTCCCATCACGACTGTATTCGTACGCCACGTAGAAAAGATCGCCGCGCTTCGCCAAGGACTCTTGGACTCCGCGAGAGCCGTCAATTGTAACGATGAGGCAGCCGATGACAGTGCATTCTCGGTCTTGGTAACCGATAACGAGCACAGACAATGGCCTATAGCCCCATGCTGCTCCCCCGTCCGTCGATAACTGAGCTGTTGTCCGTGGGGGTAAATGCTCAAGGAGACAGGTCCTGTGATGCTAACCCTCTCGATGGAAACCTGAAGATGATGGAATCTGGCCCCGTTCTTGACTGACTTGTGGGTACCGGGCCGCTGGTTCGTCTGAAAAATTTTGCGGATACGCGCGGTAGGAACCCGGGTTTCGAGGATCACTTTTCCCTCTTCTGCTACCCCGAGCAGTCCACGGACCGACCTTCTCCATGTTATCTTATGACTTATTCTTCAATTTCCTTTTCTCAGACTCCAGCGTGATTTCGGACAGCGTCTGGAACTCAGCTCTGCATGCCGTTATTGAACCATCACTTCTATCAGTTTGAGATGAATGACCAAGATTTTTCAAAAACTCAATTTGTGACGCAGATTTTTCGGAACATTCACGATATATTGCTCAAACCCATGTTGCATGCGTCATGCGCCGCAACCTCACTGGGCCATTCAAGCAGGTTTCTGGAAGGTGGGAGAGCGTCGGGACCAACAAATTCTCCTAATCAAGACGATCGGAAGCCTCGCGAATGCAGGAACCATCACGTGAGCTTTACTTGATCATTCGGATTATGTCTCCCGCTCGGGAGCTTGTTAAGTGCCCGCATCAAATACCGGGACTGCATGGGGAGCCTGGACAGTGTCCAATGCTTTAAGCACCTGAAATGCTGGATTTCAAAGTCCGACTTCGGCGCACGACCTGAAATCATTCCCAAGTCCGAATCCAAAGGTGTTGATAACATCTTGCGAGCCGAAAGATCTCGGACAACAACCGATCGTCCGAAGAGCTCCGTCCCGCTCATCGTGGTGGTGGCCAAATTTGTGGATGAACACATTCTTGTCGGACATGAGCCGGGCCTGATAGTGGACCAAAGGCCTCTTTGGCTGCGATAGTACATAGGGTATGTCCGTCGCAAAAGACCCAGATTCCCACCAACTCGCCGAATACTCACCGACCGGAACGCACCCGCTCCCTCCGCTGAACGAATGCGGCAACCCGTTTGTTGATAACGACTTCCTCTTGCTGAAGAAGGTAGGTGAATCTCGCCAGCACTGGTTGTGCAATGGTCCAGATTTCAATGCCTGCTCTGCACCTTGCTTGTCTTTCGCGCCTTCATCAAATGGCCAAACCGCGCGTGTGGGCAAGGTGGGATTGTTGTGTCCACACCAATGAAACCTGCAAGGGATGCCAGACATTGATCTGCAATCTGGCCCAGGAACCCGACCACTCAAAAGTCTACATGACTCCAGTTTTTAACATGCTCGGTCAGGGCAGCTCCGGGGTAGGATTTCTTTTTAGAGGCTGCCCAGGAGCGCTGCACCAGCTTCTTCTAGAAGGTTAATTCCGCCCTGTGATTTAACTGTAACTAAATTCTTATTCTTGGTTGTAGCGATGACACTCTGCAATCGTCCTTGCGCAGGTTTCATCCAGCCCCAGCGACTCTCACTGCTTGGCGAGACGAACAGCTGAGAATAGGGCGGGCAGCGTCGCAGATTAAATTGATTTTTGGGCAACTTTTGCCTATTCTTAGCTGATAACTTCGGTCGGAGACTGGCGCTAAGTAACCCGACGTCACTGATGTAAACAGGAGACAGTCTGCTTCGTAGTCAAGTTGTCTATTAAAGGAAATGACAAGAACTCATCATACAAATAGCTTCAATATTTCAAGGGCCTGTGGCGAAGTGAAATACTTTGTATGTTATCGAGTCAATCCTCATGGTACTGTATTAGGGCCCGTCTCGTACCTATATCATGTAGAACCGTGTATTGTGCAATTATGCCACCTCTCAGTGAGTTATGTCTGAGGCCTAACGCTAAGAGCACTGTTACCTAGCCGCAAAGGCCGAGGCCCCTTGAGCGAAATACCACAACGCGCCAATACTATTACATGTATAACAGTTCTCAGCTTGAGGTGCGGAAAGAGCTGTTTTGTGGTTTCGCCGTCGCCTGTGTCCTTGAATGCAGGCACTACTTGTAAAATTATCAAGCCTCCCAAGTCGCTATTAGAGGACTACAAAGCATGTTTCGTAAGTCTCGTTGATTTCAATCTGAGTGTCGGAGTACCTGACGCGTGACAGGAGTCTCGCTGTATGGTGTTGTTGCCTGGCATAATCGTTGTTGCGATTATGCTCGTTCATATAGGTATGATGAGGATTTGTCATGTCCTCACGCCGTGAGCTCAAACAGAGCGAGTTTTCTCGCTCAATGGGCCAGGATGATTTTTCACTGCGTTGCTTCTCAGCGAAAGAAGACCTGGTTGACCTGCTCTCCTAATTGGACTTACAGGGCTTCATGATCTATCTTTAGAAAATAATCATATCCATGGCTCGTCTCTTTGGCTTAGCTAGTCGACCGAATTGATCTTTGACGAACAGGATCAGCCCATACAATTGAACTAAGATACCCCTTCATGCACCGATTGAGTTTCGGCGAAGATGTAATGATATCCAACAGCTTGCGTACGAACTTGAAGTTATCAGTCATGAACACAAGAGTTGGCTTGGTCCTTGTAGATTGAATGCGCTTCTAGATATCCTTGATTTGAACTTATGATCGAAGATCAAGATGGTTCTCAGAAAACCACTGAGGAATGTCTTGCGTAGAAGGTATCAAAAATTCCGAAGTCCGCCATCGCTATTGAGACACCTGTAAAGATTCTGCCTGAAAATGCGGGAAATATCTTCTCCTCAAAGCCGGAGAAAGCTAGCGAGTCTGCCCTCAATCAAACTTCAATATTTATAAAACGCCGATTTACCAGTCGTCAGTATGTGTGGTCTAACCGCAGCACTTCCCGTCTTATCAATTATTATGATCGCTAAGTATTTCAAGGTCTTTGATCTTGCACGATGATCGAATTTGCCGATAAATCATAACCCTTGAGTTGGATATCGTCGCGTTTTCTTTCAATTATTCAGCCTTCGATAAATCGTAGTCGATGCACCGCTGTAATTCAATTTGGGTAGGGTCCAAGACGCACATTCAGGAGGCTGAAGGTTGACTTGAGCTCTTGAGTTGAAGTCGATAACTGGGAAGATTCATGGAAGAGACGCTCACGCAAGGTAAGGATGTCAAGGCAATTCTAAACTTTCTGCACGGGGCTTCTCATCTGAATGGAAGGAGACTGGCGAGGACCCCGATTTCTGGGAGGATCTGATACGGGGTCAGGCTTTAGGACAAGCTCAAGTTGACTTGGGCTACGAGGAGATGATCCAAGCGGAACTGGAAGAGATTGATACGAGGACATCTTTCTCGCCACAGTACTCGGAATACAGCCGACGTCGAAGAAATCTGGAGTTAGTGGGCCGCAAAAATGGGCTAGGGGAATTGCGTGCTTTACTCTCCCGTATTCCCAACCTGAGGTCTTCACGCTACGCACAAGAGAGGGAAAGAGACGGGTGTGGTGTGTATATCGAAACAGGACGGGCCCTTAGCCCCACCATGGAGTGTATCAGCGAGACGCTGAAAGAGCCTTCGATGCGTATCATGACGCAGATGGGAGCAGTGGAGATTACCCTCGCCGACATGAAGGGCTTCAGGCGCCTTATATACCTCGGGATTGATGCCGCCATACTCATGGGGGCATAATTCCGCAGAGAAATCATTAGGGAGGAGTTCCCTTCCCAATTGTTCAGCATGCCGCTTGACAAATTAGCTTCACCACGGTTGGTGGACACGTTTCCTCGATCCATCAAATCGGCTCCGATATTGGCGCTGTCCTGGGACTGTGACAAACCAGATCCCGGGGCGACAAAATGCCTTATAGTTTTAGTTGTCGGTCTTCTTAACAAAAGGCATCGTGAACAATGGCTACCGAGGTAAAAGTTCGGTTTCTCAGCCCCAGGAAACAATATGTCTAACACTTTATTGGACGAGTACGATGCTTATTGGGCTACGATTTCCCTGCAAGATGAAAGGGAACTCCAGCCAGACTTCGTCCATCATTTCCACGAACGGTTTGAAATTCCTATCTTACTGACGGCTTTATCAACTTTGATGACTACGATTCCGACGATGAAGATCATCAAGACGGCAAAGGCGGGCTCGAGGACAGTGAGTCGAGGAAGAAGAAGAAAAAGAAGACAAAAAGACAATGAATTGAGGATAATTATTAGGTAGAAGTTGAAGAAAAGAGATAGTCGAAAAACACGACACATCAGTTTGCACCGGTAGGCTTCAGGCATAAAAACACCACCTTGAAGCCTCATAGGAGCCAGCAATGTTGAGCGACAACTTGCCCACAACATAGCAGTGACGGCGGTAAGCCTCGATCACTCGAGTGCTCGCATATTTATCTTCGACCACTTCGGCTGATAGACAAGTGAAATACAAAGCTCTGATCGGGACAAAGTACGCCGAGAAAGCAAGCTATGAAAAATTGCTTGGTCGCTCTTTTCCCCGCATTTCTAACGGCTATGGATGGAAGCGACCTGCACCCCAGCATAAGCCAAAGGTGCACTGCATTAGTCTCTTGATTATGTGAACGGGCATATTGGAATTGGAACGACCGCAGATACGCGTATTCGTTCTGAGACAGGTTGCCCCTAGCAAACATGATTCAACGCAATACAGATGCTTGCTTTGTTCTCGTTCTTGGTACGAGGACTACCTACAAGTGCCGAGGTTCGTGCGATTGAGCGCAGAGGTGTGTACCCCACATCGTACCAACTTCATCATGTTAGTAGCTTCAAGTACCAGACGCAAGACTATTCCATGAACTTGGTTATGTGCTCTTTGGTCGTCAGTGGTGAGCTACCTTTAGATACTGCTTGTTGTTACCCAAGATCACACGAAGCGGCCCGATCTCGTTGTTATTTACCCCGAGGAAACTAACCAATATTCCTGTCCACCATTCTACGAACGCAACATTCGCAAACTTGGCGCCTAGCTGTGTCTCTGTCATGTTAATAGTTGAGTTTTAGCCCGCGCATTGTTCTATTTAAATCGCGATGACAAGTTCTTCAACAATCTGCTGGTCGAGAGGCTGTGCAAGACAACAAGACTTCAATATTTACTAGAACTATTCTCAGAATGACCACAATCCGCCATGCAGTTAGCCTTTTTGCCCTACTCCTCACTAATTGCGAACCCATCCGAGCTTCTGACTGCACCCAGTCCCCAAATAATTTCCTCCATCCACCATCCCAAGAGCGCCCAAAGTTCAGATACTGGCTTCCAGACGCTAGTGTAGACGCGGGGACTGTAGAAGCGGACATAAAGGCAGCGGGTGACATTGGGGCTGGGGGCGTAGAGTTCTTGCCGTTCTACAACTATGGAGGAGATCTTGGGCCAGCTCCAGCCGGGGTAAACTGGTCTACTTACGGCTTTGGTACTCCTGCTCATCTTAATCTCTTCACATCAGCCTTGAAGGCCCATGAACAGGCGGGATTGACCATGGACTTTTCACTTGGACCGAATCAGGGACAAGGCATTCCGGCTCACCCTGATGATGAGGGATTGCAGTGGGACTTGGTAAGTAGTTGCAAATCACCCACAGCTTTCGACGATGGAAACAGCTGAGTCCATTTTACTGAACTCCTTGCACACCTCAGGTTTCCTTCAGCCAGGCCGTCTCCAATCGCAGCTTTCTCAACGAAACAATTCCCGGCTGGGGGGATGGTGAGCTAGTCGCTGTCGTGTCCGCTGTCGTAGTGTCTCGAGCGAACATTTCTTACAACATCGTTGGGATTACCGGCTCGACGACTGTATCTTACCAGGATCTCGTTTTGGAAAATGGATCTCTCACAGACATTACCTCAAGTGTCTCAGGCGATGGCATACTATCCTGGAAGCCCGCTAGATCCTTGCCCAGTGGATCTGACCACGAGCTGTTCTTTTTCTACGAAAAGCTGTCTCTCAACCAAAACGTTCACTTCCCATCAAATACGACGAAAACCATTTGGGACAATGGGTCGTATATCGTGGACCACTTCAGCGCTCAAGGAGCTCGGACAGTGCAGACCTTCTGGGAGCAATATCTGCTTACTGACGAGCTGAAAGGACTTTTGAGAGACGTTGGAAATTATGGTATGATGTCTTCTAAACTTGATGGCAGTCTTATCAGCTAACTTTGGCGTGATCCTAGGATGGGAGGATAGCATCGAAATTCCTTCGAATGTTTCATGGACCCGCTCGCTTCCAACACGGTTCCAAGGAATGTTCGCATACGACTTGAAACCATACCTGCCTCTCATCATGT